GGAAAGAGAATTAGGCTCAGACATGTAATGCCGAACACAAGTAGATTCACAATGCCGTCTCTTTAAACCGCACAGCACTTGTGCCGCTATGGGTGGAGATGGGGGTGGAGGGAAAACAGCTTAGCGTGGCAATTAAAAATACTAATTACATCCCAATCGCGCTCGGTGCAAAGAATGTCCATGTGCCTTTCACAGTGCATCAACGTAAAGCAAGTCGGGTTGATTGATGATCCAGCACTCACTCATTCACTGCAGTCGCTCGCTCCACCAGTGGCCAGCCACCTCACCTCATTATCACTCGTCTATTGCTACTACCGTGGTTAACCCTTGCTATGAACGCCACTTGTCGATGCCTCCACCCAGTGCGGACTGATTGTTTCGTCTCGTCCGTGCTCTGCTCTACCACCACACTGCAGGTCACAACTCACGCTCACTCACTCAATCATCACACGGTGGCGAGATGTTAACCACCTCGCCTGGTATACAGGAGGTCTGGGTTCGATCCCGACCCTGATGCCTGTATATTTGGAGTTTGCATGGTGTCCCCGTGGCCGCGTGGATTTTTCTCCAAGGTTCTCTCGTTTTCCTTCCACATTTAGAAACGTGCGTTTCGAAATATTTTCCACACGACGATAAGCTACTTCGGTGAGCTGTCATCTGTGGTCAGGTCACTTCTGAAAGAGAGCTACGTAGCTCAGTGGGAAACTTACTTGGTAAAATAGCAGTAGTAAATGTGAAGTTTAAACAACCTACACTGCAGGTCACAACAACTGTCACCCACTCTACCACCACGCTGCAGCTCACAGCACTGATTCTCTCCTCGTGCTGCTCCACTTTATAATTCCCTGGCGCAGTCTTCCCCCGTCCCCCACCCCCCCAGAGTTCTTATAACCTTTTTAAATAAAAATACAAATACAAATTAACTTTTCTATTTTTTGCACAATCATTAGGTGCGATGCTGGCTGCTGGGTCATCTAGGGACTTTAGGCCTGTGCTCAGTAACTAATATTATATTTATAATTCTAAATAATTAATAAGACAAGCAAGTGAAATCATGTCATGAGCAGTTGCTGGGTGGATCATTACATTGCATGAGCATGACAGTTGGCCGTGACTTAGGGAGGCCTTAATCCAGCATTGAATTTATCAACGTGCGTATAGAGCAGGCATGTCCAAAGTCCGGCTAATAACGGCCCGCGGGCAGATTTCATACGGCCCGCAGCTTCGGTCTTATAATGTGTTATTTATGGCTCATGGAAATTTAAGGTATTCTATACAGTTTGTTAAATGTTATCTGACTGAATGAAAGGCAGAATTTCGTTTTTAGAGTTGTTCCCGTCTGCCTGAGTGGCTTATATTTGGTAACATTGTCATTTGAAAAACAAAGGTAATTGTGACAATGAAAATTGTTTTATAACAGTGTGTATTTCCACGTAACTTTTGTGGTTAAAACAATGTCAAAAGGAACTATTGGCCCCCGGGCATCTTTACTTTATCAAATGTGGCCCTCTTTGCAAAAAGTTTGGACACCCCTGGTTTAGAGTATTTGGCTGCAGTAGATTTCCACATGAAAGGCCACTTCGTTGAGCAATCATTTGCGATAGCCACGTCGCTTCTGAAAAGGAGCTTAATAGCTCGGTGGGCCTTACCTGGTGAAATATAAATACAATTGTGTACAGTGTGTATAGTCAGTTTAACACGTCGGCTTTCGTGCTCAATATCCATAATAAAGTGTTTTTGTTAGATCGCATGAATATAACAAGGCTCACACATTTATTCCTCTATTTAAGACCAAAACAGGAAGATTTTTTCACAATTCTGGCTACCGCCTGATGAAGCTGGTTGTTGTAATCGCCAGCGAAACTTCGTATTCGAATTGTAAATGTTGTTTTTTGCTCTCCAACGCACCGGTGTGCTGGAGCAGTAACTAATTGCCACGTTTTGTTTACGTGACAAACCTTACTAATTGGCTCTGTCGGGTGGTGGTGGAGGGTTATTGACGACATATTTATATTTCCACGATGTAACCCAAAAATAAAAAAATAAAAAATAGTTTTAGTTTAGTTCCAAATTGACCAAAGCTGTTGATGATAACGACAATGACAAGTCAAGCACGTTCCCTGCTCTTAAAGCCACATCGCACCGTGCTGCCGAGTGTCAAGCGACGCCGAACGTGACGATACAAAAACACGAATCGCACCCCAATATGCAGCTGTCGCCAGCGGTGTCGCGAGCGAGAAATTGCAGGCCTGCGCCTTTAGCTTGCGGTCGTCACGAAATAACAACCCGTGTGCCTTTCAGCGGGCGCAACACTCTGCCAGAGAAAGCCGCCGCGTTTTTCAAAGTGCATGACCGCGGAAAGTTAAATCACATTTAGATACCAGTTGACCCCTTGACCTTTGCAGCTGCTCGCTCGTAGTTAATTTTTTTTACGCGAGCCGCTCGGTCATGCGACGCTTGGGGAACTCACTCATTCACTGCTGGGGGCATTCTACTGGGTCACGCTCTGCGAGCCATTCGGTGATCAAGCGTGGCAATGCAACGACTGTTGACAGCTTCATTGTTTTCAGAAGGCCCTTTGCGGTACTGCCAGGTGGTCCAGAGCAGGGTTATCCACAACTCGATTGTGTAGCCGCGACCCTCTCGTACAAGACAATACGTACTGCACAACACAACGCAGGCTGGATTCCGTATGATGTCTGAAGAATGGATTGGGAACGCGTTTGCGTGAGCAACCACCGATGAGGAGATGGAGCGATGAAGTCGGCTCGGGGTGCAGGTGACCAGGTGGATGGCTACGTCAACAGATTGCGAGGCTTTCACCCAGCAGTGGATTGACCATGGCTGATGATGATGATGATAGCGCCTAAATGTGATCACTTCTCAAGGCGCTGTAAATAAATTGTGGGTATAGCTACTTCATAGAAAAAGATACAATGTGTCACAGGCTGAGGAAAGGAAGAGTTTTGAGCCTGGACTTGAACAGTGGAGGCAGCAGAGGAGGGTGAGCAACCACCTTGCCTCTCTGTAAAGCATGGAAGCCATTCGTTTTCACAATATTTAATCTCCTGTTGAAAAGCAAATACCTCATACTCTTTGGTTCTTTCGGTAAAGTCACGTAGGTGAAAATAAAATAACAACTAAATCACGACGTTTCGGAGGCAACACAAGCTTCCGTTTCAGGTGGGACAACCACAGCAAAACAAAATAACTGTAGTAAAAAATTTAACCTACGTGACTTTACCGAAAGAACCAAAGAGTATGAATCCTTGCAGTCACGAAAACTTCAAATCTAGAAGCAAATACCTCATTCGTTAATTGTGAAATATTCCAGAAGGACCTTGAACTGAAGATAGATTTTAGTTTTATATTTTGTTTTGTTGTTGCGGCTATACTTAGGCACCTCGGATCTCACTTAAAAAAAAATAGCCAGGTAACTGGCTAAAACAGTACCACCTCCGATTATCACGGTCGGCTACGTGTGGTGCGAAAGAAGTTCAACATGCACACATACATCTGTGTAACAAATCGAATGCAAGACTCAAGTGAGAAGTGCATTAGCGGTCAGTTGGGGTATCTATAGATGTACCACGTGACACACGGTGCAGGTGTGCACTCCACGGAAATCATACTGGACTGTCCAGATGTGCGCTTGATTTAATAAGTGACATTATCTAACCAGGTGTGTGTGTGTGTGTTCAATTTAAAGCGAGTGTCATTCCATGCATCCTAGCACAGTGTATCTTTGTGACTTCACCAATTTACCTCATCTCAAAGAAAAATTAAATCATTACTTGATGCATGCTTTTGATGATTGCTTTTGATGACTGCAAGTCCCACGTGATGACAAAAACAGCAGCTGATTCAAATTAAGATTGAGATCGTGCGTGCGTGTGTCCTGTATGATTAGTGATGATTATTTGAACCGGTCTTCGTCCTCTCCTAGGTCGACTCAGCTTCAAATGAGTACCTGGTGTGGTGTGTAAACATCACCACTGAGGAGACAAAGGCGGCCGGCCTTCATACGTGATAGCTCCCAGCACTTGCCCCAACAGTCTGTTCAGATTATATGGGCGATCTTTTTATTTGTTCCGCATGATGTGGAGAGTGCATATTCCAATTACGAGAAATGCCCTGTGTGTTTACGTACGTGTACACGTATGTTCCCCTGCGAGGGAGAGTGCCAATTAAAATTAAAGACGAGCATACAAATAAAATATGCATTGTTAAGGACGAGGGACGAGTAAATGGTGAGGACACGTGTGCAGGATGGAGGAGAGCAGGTTACGGAGACAGGCAATGGCACGACACCCAGAGTTCAGTGAGCAGGGCTGAGAGACACCCACTATATTCTGAGAGGGGGAAAAAAATCCTGCAATTTTTGAGTCCCTAGTTTTTCTGCCTTCGACAAGGTGATCGATGCAGATGAGGGAACATTTCCATACACGGCAGTGCACGAACAGAACTGAGTCAGTAGCCAGTAGCTGCGTATATTTAATGTCATCATAGTGCAGTGTAACTACTCTTATCTGTGACGAAATGAGGGCGATCTTCACCTATCCTCTCTGTAATCTACCCAGTATCCACTGGGAACCACTCGCTAGTCGCACCACCCCAACTTCCACAGTGTGGCTACATATTATTAGGTTTATTCGGTAAAGTCAGGTAAGTAAAAAATAAAAATTAATAAGAGTATTTTACTTTTATTAATTTACATTTTTAACTTTTATAAATTTTTATTTTTTACCTACGTGACTTTACCGAAAAAACCTAAGAATATGAATCCTTGCAGTCACGAAAGCTTCAAATCTAGTGTGGCTACATCCCTGCAAGAGAGATCTGTGAGCTGAAGCGACTTCACGGGTCACTGTGCATCTGTGACCTAACCAGTAGACACCGCGGCTCTCCCGGGGGGGTTCCATTGCGCGACTGCACCGCCAGTCCGATGAGGTCACTGCTCCGTGCGCGTTTGACGCCCGTTGTCTTTGCCGTGGGGGCAGGTGTACATCCAGACGACGACGCTCACCGTGTCCATGAGCCTGAGTGCTTCGGTGGCTCTGGGAATGCTCTACATGCCCAAGGTGCACATCATCCTCTTCCACCCGGAGCAGAACGTGCAGAAACGCAAGCGCTCCTTCAAGGCCGTGGTGACGGCCGCCACCATGTCCAACAAGCTGACGGGCGGGAAGACCAACGACCGGCCCAACGGAGAGGCCAAGACGGAGCTCTGCGAAAGCCTAGAGAACAGCTGTGAGTGCCGCCCGCACAAAACACCGTCGCCTCCCTCCCCACCTCCCTCACTCGCGCCTGACCCACGTGGGCCACGGTGGCTCTGCCCATCGGCAAAGTTGCACTGGCTCCGAGAGTTGGAATTAACTTGCGCTGTGCGTCGACAAACGCGGGCTGCTTCCGTGGGAACACAAATTCATTGTGTGCCACAGCAGGGTATTATGGGTAAAAGTAAATTTAAAACTGAAACTATAAGCTATTTTTTATTATTTTACCTGGTAAGGCCCACTGAGCTCCACAGCTCTTTTTCAGAAGCGAACTGGTCGCAAGTGATAGCTCAACAACAAAGTGGCTCATCGCTTGAAAATGTATAGCGGCCAAATACTCTAAATGCGTGTTGATTCTAAATGTGCAGGGGAAAACCGGAGGACTCGGATAAAAATCCACGTGGCCACGGAAAGAGAGAAACGCAAAATCTAAATATGCAGGCAATCGTAAGGGTCGGGATCGAACCCACGACCTCCTGTATACCAGGCGAGGTAGTTAACATCTCGCCACCTCGCCGCTCCGTGGTGGCGAGGTGTTATCTAACTTGGAGCCCCATTCTGTCTCCACATTCATAAAGGTCATCTTTAACAGATAATCTGTAGTCCGTCAACTGATCGACTTTCCAACGGTGCGCACAGTACATCACGCACTGAGCACCGAACCTGAGTTCAATCCCCGGAAATGACTTAACGTCAGCTGCGAGTGATGCCTCAACTCGTGAAGTACACCCTCAAGCAGGCCCCGACGACAAGCATGGCTTGGGAAATCCTCCATTCAGCAGTGCATTGATTAAGTGTTATGCATTGTTATTTAATTATTGTTATCTAAATCTGTAGGAGGTGGGTGGGGGGAAGAAATAATTTAAAGGAATTTTACGTGACAGACAACGGGCTCCAGCGGAAAATAATGTTGGCTTTATATATATTAAGCTTTGCAAATTATGAAAAACTTTACAAAAAATTGTACACGGTGCCAGTTCATGCGCGTAGCTTATGAGCCAGTTCTGCGTGCACTGACAGACGTGGTGCCCCCCCCCCCCTCACCGTCTGCGTAGATAAGAGACTTTTTCTCCGCGTCGAACATTTGTGAGGGCCCACTCACCGCACGCACCCGCGTAGACCTCAAATATCGCACGCGAGATCGCCCGTCGAAAAAGTTCGCCATGTGAATTGATGGCCGTGAGCCAAGTTACTCGCCGCCTGACTGATGAGAGTGTCATCACGCAGACAGAAAGTAGGACTCGCCACCCACACGCAGTCCTCGACGGCCTCCAAATTGAATGACTGAATGAGCCGTTGCATGCATTCGCGCATGAATCATTTATCCATTAAGTAAAGTGAAAGTGGTGTCCTAACTAAAACAAGCGTGGGGGAAATGATCGTCTCCTCTTTACAACCTGGGGCCACTTCGTAGGCATTCCACAAGTCAAACGCTCACTTAGTGGAGTGTGCCAAGAATTCCCACTAGCAGGACCCTCATGAAAAATTATCTTGAGACTCCGTCATGGTTTTCCCGGATAGGGCATTTATTATTTATACAATGGGGGACAAATATTGCTAAAAGCCGGACAGGACATTTCGCTGTTCCATTACAGCATCTGGAGATGCTGCTAGTATTAACCTTGCGATGTAAATTATGATTGTACAATTATTATTAACCGCAATTGACTTCCCACAAAGTTGTGTCGCCCTGCGGCCAGGATTTTAACTCGTAACAACCTTGCGATAGCGATACACACGCACTTCCCACCCAGCTGAGACACGAACTCAGCGCTGGTGCCAGCCCATTGACGGCCCTAAGCAGAGATGAGTTGTGGGTGGTCTGTCACGTGACTACAAACATTATATTCTGGATAACATTCAGAATTAATTCATGTAAGTGGTCTGAAATAATTTGAGGTAACGGACCAATTAGACCTATTTCTTATTGTTAATTTAGAACAATTACGTTTAGTTTCTAGTCTTACAAGCGCCTAAATTTAAGCCAATATGTTTTTGCGCATTGCTGTTTGGTTAATGAGTGAGTGACCCGGTTGATCTCCTTGGGGTCCTAAACGGCGGCTCGCTCAGCTCACACACAGCCCTGCGAATCAACTGACGCGCAATGGAAGCCTCTCCACAGACGCGTCGCCTACTTCGCTCAGTCCCTGTGCGCTTGGTCAGCCTGTCGTGAGCAATCCGGCTCCAGATTTCATGGAAGTTCTCTGTCGGGCTGCGGACAACCTTTAGAGAGAAGCCTCGTTGTTCCGGTGGGGAGAGGGGCGGGTGGAAATCCACGCACACACGCCGAGCCAAAAACCGGCGCTGCTCATCGAGTCGGCATTGCGCTCGCAACGTCCAGGAAAGTAGGCCAGTGATGATTTGTGCATCTGCTGCCACTTCACGATAAATGGCCTCCTCCGAGTCTAAAATACAGGAAGTTCGAAATGCATCGTTAACTGTCGCCGTGTTTACGACCGGCGCCTAATTTGGGGAAGAGCCTCCGTGGGTGTCACCTATTTATGAGTATGTGTGTGCGTTTGTATGTCTAGGTGGTTTGTTTATACAGCGCAAGCTTACAATTAGTATTCTTTGGGTCTTTCGGTGAAACCACGTAGATATATAATTTTTATATATCTACGTGGCTATACAAAAAGACCCAAAGAATATGAATTCCTGCAGTCACGAAAGCCTTAAAGTCAAGACTTACAATTAGTGTTAGCTACCCCATGTGTAATGTGCGCGCGTGTGCGTGTGTGTGCGCGTGCGTGTTTTCATTCGTCTGTGCTTCGCATTCTGTACACATTTTCTTTTTAACGCGATAGGAAAGCGAGCTGACCAAAAAAATGTAACGTCCAGTTGAGTTGCACTTCGACTCCTCGTGCTACGTTTAGAAAGTAACGTGTGCCTCATTACGCCTTTGGCGAAACAAAACACATAACATTCCAGATTGTCAATTTGTGTTCAAAATTAATATCTGAATCGAGCCCGCTTTGTGCTTACAGGACGGAAGCTTCGTGCTAACAGGAGAAGTCAATCTGGTGTTAATTGAAACCTACGATGATAACACGTGTCTAACACACGCACAACAAATTACATTAAGACATCCTTTTTAAAATGAAACAAGCATCACGGACTAAACGTGTAAAAAAAAAACCTGGAACAATTTGTAGAGAAAACATAATGCAGGAAAGAAAACCCGGCAATGAACATTTATCTCGAATCTACTTCCTACAGTTCCTTTTATAGCACATCTCTCTTTGCGTTTTTTTGTTTTGCCCTGCCCCCTACGTCCCTGCCTCCCCTCGGAATGCAGCAGCTTCTTGCACAAAAACAACATACATCAGCTACAGCAACCATCTCATGTAAAAGGCTCCCGGGACCGCTGGCACCGCTACCCTCCCCACCACCACCACCACGCTGGGCAGGGCATTATGGGAAAAGCTGCCGTATCAGCAGACTGCTAAATCGGGATGCCGCGCAAGAGTCTGGGCTCGCAGATGAGACTATCCAGCAGCCAAGGCGTGGGGAGGAGGGCATTGAAGACCGCCGCGCTGGTGCACGGAACGCGAGGAGACGCCGTGAAGCTGGGACAGAGGGAGGAGGGGTGGTGGTGGTGGCGGGGGGGGTGCCCTTAGCAGGAAGAGTTGCTGCTGGTGGCGGCGGCGAAGAAGAGGAGGACATTGGATGAACGGGGCGGGTGTGGGCAGGGGTGGGAGGTGGTGCATGATGGCCGTGAATCGTCTCACTAATTAGAGGCCTTCGGTGGCGAAGAGGTGTGGGTTGTCCCTTTCTTTCGGAGAGGCATCTTTTGTAAGCGTCGCAGCACAGCACAAAGCTGCGACGCCGCTTGCCAGCGCCGACGGAACGGAGCGTCTCGCTCGCCCCGACGGCGCGGGCGGATTTGTAAAAAAATAAGTGGGGGAGGTGGGGAGGGGGGGGCTGTTTGGGATGAAATGATATTTCCAAAGGAGATTTTGGAAAAGCGAGATAAATAAAGGAGTGATTAAGTAACAGCAACGACAACGACATCAACAAAATTAAGGAATCGCACGAAAGCATCGCTTTGGTTAATCCACGCGCGCGCTCGTGTGTGTGTGTGTTTGTGTGCGCGATGGATACAAACGCAGCGCCGGCAAATGTCGAAACGGAATCAAGAGGCTGCTCTTAAATGTTTGCATTGCCTTCTGTTATATCTCTTGTTCTCTCCCCCCCTACTCTCTCTTTCTCTCGTTTTGCTCATTGTGTTGATGTCAAGTCGTTCCATTTATCAGCCTAACATTGGGGGGGGAGGGAAGCAATTGTTGTGGTTTCCTGAAATTAAGAAGGGGGTAGTGCAGGAGAGGGGGGGGGAGGGGTAAAAAAATAATTAAAAATAAGAAAAAATGCATAACATCTGCCCTATCTGTGAATGTTGCAACAAAGTCCAGTCTGGTGTGTTCTAATGGGCTAAATGACTCGGTATATCTCTCGTGTTCTGTAACTTGGAGAATGAATTTCGGAAAAGATATACTAGAAGGACGCATGCAATTTTTTTTTATACAGACATAAAGTTTATTTCTAATAAAATGGAGTTTCATCAAAATCTGCAAATAAAAAAAATGGTTTGGATTGTGCTTGTGGGAAAATGTCTGTGGAATGCGACCCTAAATTTCACCAATTGTAATCTTAATGCACTGTGATCTCGGGCGAATTGAAAGGAAAGGGGCTTTTTTTTTGTCCTCCAGCTTTTAGGTCCACAATGCATCACGAGAGGCGATCGCGTCATTACTGATTTCCGCGACAATCGCAGCGACCCGGCACTTCACAATAAGTGTCGTTTAAAGGAAGCCCATAACAGAGCGCAAGGTATTTCATTTGCTCAATAACCCTAATAGCAAATCGTACAAAAAAACAGAAGGTCAATGACAGAGATATAACCGAGCAGCGTTGCCATGTGTACAGCTAATGCACGATTCCTGCGCTCGCATGTCCATTACGATGCCTGAAGAGTGGGGGAAAAAATAAACCGGGAGGGCCTCAGAGATTGCATCTTCCACCTCGTTTTACCCCGCCTGACACTGTGTGCACAACCAGGCAGCTGTGGACTGTAAAGTTTTCTTTTTTAATAAATGCAGAGGAGATCGACAGAGTCTTGTAAAACGCTAGCATCTTTTTTTTGCGCTTTGCTCAGAATTGTGGCAGTGAAGCGTCTGCCAACGCGTCGAGGTTTACAAATCCGGGACTTGCATCATGCTTGGGGGGGGGGTGATTCCGAGATCGGTCGCCGCTGCTCACAACGTGATGCACTGCTCTCTAAAGCCACGACAAACGTACGGCTCCTTTGCCACGTGTCCCCCCCACACCACTCTTTAACTGGTTTCACAACTTAATTTTATTGCAAACCTGCCTTTGAAATGATCCGCCCCAACCTGATGGGCTTTGGAGTCGGGGCTCACCAACCAAGAGGAAGATGTAAGTCGAGATGGTGGTGGAACAATCTGTAAGTGAAGACCTTGGAGAACGGCTGTCAACCGTGTGGTGTCTGACAGCAGAAAGGAAACAAAGTTTACGTGTGACATCAATGCCAGTGGTTCTCTGACAAACTCGCTATCTCCCTTCGATGTGCTGTTGAATTGTACCGTGTGTCGTTAAGCACGATGAGCAGTGTTTCATTCCACGCGCTAGGAGGGCATTTTAGGAATTCATTCCAGACAGAAGCTATCCCCTGGAACGCGAAGCGGAATGCATGCCAAACGGCACGTATTACCTCCCGGACACACATCGAGGGATCTATGAAGCACAGGCGTGCGAAGCTATGCAGTCGTACCTCTCCATCCTGGATTGTGGACGAGTTCCACTGGGAGGTCACAGGTAAATGGCCGTTACTTATGCAAGGAAGTCGTACACTTGTGACAGAGGTGGGACAAAGTCATTGTTATGCAAGTCCAAGTCGAGTCTGAAGTCATCAAATTCATGACTCGAGTCTGACTCGAGTCCAAGTCACATGACTCGAGTCCACACCTCTGACTTGTGACCGTGAAATTGAAATCAAACGAGACCCACTCACTGTTAACAAGGATTTGCTTGGAGCAGTTGCCAACAATACTGTGTCAGCTTTCCATTTCTCGCAAGTTCATCTCTGCCTTTTCAGCACACGTGACATGTTATGGATGCCTGCAAGCACTCCGTTTTAAACTTTAATATCATTCAGCTGAACATGTTTTGAGTTTCCAGCAGTTTAAACAAAAACCTGCGGGAAACGATACAGAGTGTGTCATCGCTGTGAACTGAAACATCCTTCAATTGGAAAAAAGCCCACTCACAAATACAGGATCTGGAGTTGTATACCGTTTCAGGGCAGCAAGGGTTGAGCCTGGATATCACTTGGATGGGTGACCACAGTACAAATAAGTTTACTCTAGGCTGCTTCAGGCTACATGGTGGGCAGCAAAGCAAACTCCTCTGTTGTACTGTACATTCTATGCAGCCACATCTATACAGTATTCCCAAACGTCACCAACTCGCATTACCCAGCGTGCCGATTTTTGGTCAAATAAGCCGCACAATCCGCACGCCATGAGTAGGCCCTCATCCAGCAGTGGATTGACAAAAGGGCTGCGAATAATCATGACCACACTGGCCAGGCCAATTGCATCCAGGCTGAAAAAAGGGGGAATTTATAATCGTTCGGTGTTCATAGTTTCCCTGCCTGCATGAGAGCAATACAGATTGCTATCGCTGTGAGATTAAATGTCCCTTCAACTGAAATAATAGCTCACATGCAAACAGCGTCCGCGGTTGCTGCGCGGGCTATTGGGAACGCGTGCCCAAACTAGAAGTTGAATCTGTAAGGACACGTTTTTTTGAAAGTGAGACGTTATCGAGGTCAAACATTTTACCTTGTCGCGCGAAGAGAGCTAATGTGTCAGCGCAAGCACTCCGAAATTCGCAGCTTTTGCATTGCAAATGAGGGCAAAGACTTGCGCACATCATATTAATGTCAACACAGCATCAGGAAGGGAAAAAAACGGCAAATTTGATTGTAGTCTTAGTGTCTCTGTTAAAATGCTTCTACGCTGTTCAAAAGGGTGATTTATTTGACACCTCATTTGGGCTGGGATAGAGTGTTTTGTGTTTTTTTTTTCTTCCAAAAAACGACACGTGCTGTTTTTAATACGATCGGCTGCAGCTTCTGAGAAATGCCTCCGCGCACGCAGCAAACCGGTAGTTATATTGTGGGGTATGGGGGGGCGTTTCGGAAGCACAATAACAGTTCTCGAGCTCGCGAGCTTTCGTCAGCTGGCGGTGACAGCGAGACGCCCCGCGGAATTGGAGAATTCGTCGAAAAATCTCAGTCAGTGGGCATCGCGATACTACCTGGACTAAATAAAAAAATAACGGGTTTCCTCCTGCCGCCTACGTGAACGATTTGGACGTTACAGTTTGTCGCCCGCTTTTTTTCGGGGGTTGGGAAGAAAAAACACAGGGCGAGGGAATGCCACAAAAGCTGTGCCCGGCGTACGCCCCTCACAAGAGCACACGCGAGCATTCGTTCTCACGCCGGGTCGCGAGGAGCTGCTGGCCCACGCCAGCGACCAGTGGGAAGTAGCGAGGTCGGCATGGGCCCTGGGGTAAGCGATGAATTGTTGTGACCCCTAACCCACCCAGTGCCGGATTAAGCGAGTGCAGGGCCTGTAGCATATGGTATACTGGTAGGAACCCACTGGTTCCACCAGCCCACAGGGGATTATTGTGTCCGTCCGTCGTGCAGGGAGGGGCTGGGTGGGAAGGGAGGGGCTGGGTGGGGAGGGGCTGGGCTGGGTAGGGTGGGGAGGGTGGGGAGGGGCTGGGTGGGGAGGGGCTGGGTGGGTGGTGGAAGGGGTGGGGCTGGGTGGGAGGGGTGGGGCTGGGTGGGAAGGGGCTGGTCACCCCGTGGTGCCCTTATAAAACTCAACGTTTAACCTACTCACGCCGGCTTGTGCCCGCCCTGACAGTCGGGCATATTTGCGGAATACACCACGCCGCCGTTGACCCTGGCCATAGACCGAGCAACCCAACGTTCCTACCAGCTCCCTCCGCAGGAATGTGTTACAATGGGCCCTAAATGTAATTTTAAAAACACATTTCTTACTTGCATAGTAAAGTAATTGTCTTTTTTCATTTGCTATACAGCCAGATGATACTAAAAATCGCTAACCTTAAACACCCGGTCGTTCATAAACGTTGAAGGCAGTATAGTACTATAGTAATAGAGCAAGTGCAGAATCTACTATAACGGAATTGATAGCTTGAAAGTATTTAGCGCGGGGCCCTTGAAAGTGGCATGTGTCGCTACTTGTACTACGATGATAATCCGGCACTGCCCCCACTCCCGTTCGACATTCAACTTCACGACCCTGTTCTTTGCTCTTCGGCCCGCGTGCTCGCTGTGCACGTGCCCTTCCTGTCCCTGCATTCTTCGAAGACACCGGCTGGAACCGGGAGGCGAATCAGAACGTCGACGGAACATCGATGTGCAACGTCTCCTCCCTAAAGCGGAAAGTTTCAGGCGAGCCACATCAGCGTGGCCGGAGGCCATGAAACCCAAACGATGGGCCGTGTAGTGAACCGATGCTAATTCTAGATTTGAAGCTTTCGTGACTGCAAGGATTCATATTCTTGGGTTTTTTCGGTAAAGTCACGTAGGTAAACATTTTTTATTAATAAAAGTTAAATAAAAATAAATTATAAATCACATTTCGGAGGTAACACAAGCTTCCGTCTTCAGAACCGTCGGTTCCACCTGAAGACGGAAGCTTGTGTTGCCTCCGAAACGTCGTGATTTTTATTATTTTTATTTTACTTTTATTAATTTAAATGTTTTACCTACGTGACTTTACTGAAAAAACCTAAGAATATGAACCGATGTTAGTCTGCGCATCCTTCAACGGAGCAAACAGAGAAAGAAACATAACTTCACTAACTCTCTCCTGAAGCCGTCTCGTCCTGGTCGAGCAGACATCGGGATAATGTTCCCATTGCCAAGAATGAATCGGAACTACCTGCACGCTCGATATCTACTCGAACCGCGTGCAAGCTGTGGTTCACAAAACGTTTGTGAATGAAAGAGACGAGGAATTTGAATTTAGTTTCTCATAATCACCATGGGTGACCGAGCTTTTACCCGTGTAGCCCCCAGGCTATGGAACGGTCTTCCACGAGATATCAGGATCTTTGAGTCTGTGGACATTTAAAAAATGTCCCTTAAAACCAATTTATACGTTTCCGTTTATTAAACGTTTAGTTAATTTCGTAAATGATTCTTAAAATGTGTTGATAATATTATTTGTATGCTGCGTGTCTGCTGCTGTTGTGTCATGTACAGCGCTTTGAGATCCTTGATGAAAAGCGCTCCATAAATGTATTGATGATTGTGGGTTTATTGTTGATGTGCATGATGATCCGTTTATAGACACCCCACTGCTTTATGACCCTCTTCACAATAGGTGACTGAATATTTGAAAGCCATGGCTCCATGCTTTACACGGACGAGTGTTAAAAGATGTAATGAGGGATTTGAGATTCGTGGGAGACGTGTGGAGGGTTTTAAATCAAATGTGTTTTTTTCTGTTCAATTTCTACAAATATCACGAGTAGGGTGTCGAAAACTGGATCACTGTGTATTTCTCTTGCTGGGAAGTACTGCACAGACGTCGAAATCGTTTTTATCCCAACAGCGTGGATTCCCTCCAAAATGTAAATGTTCCGTTAAGCTGGCATCCTTTCATAAATATTAAGCCCCTCTTCTTTGAGTTGGCCTATTACGTCCCGTCATCCGTCTTGTGTTTGTTTATGCCTCGGCCGTTTTCCTGGAGTATTTGCATCTATAAAGAGGGCCTATTCAATTTTCTCGCCGCTTCAACAACATGCATCCCGCGTCACCTTGAAGTAAGCAGCAACAACAACAACAACAAATCCAGGTCCCACCTTGACAACCTTTATTCGTCTATTTCAATTGCGGCTCCATCTCTCAGCTGATGCGACCGCCTTTGCGTCTCTGCACGTGGCCCCCTCGGAGTGCGGTGGGTAACATCCCATGTGATCGCTGCAGTCCCTGGCTATTTGTATTTTGGTATGGACCAATTTACAGACAGCAGCCACCCAGACCTTG